AGTTCTAACTTCCGAAAAGGAAAAGGAAAAGCAATATCCTTTCTGAAGTGCTTATAGTGTTTACAAGGGTTGCTTTTAGGGGTGGTCATTGGAAGGAAAAATTTGTCTAAGTATAATATTTTACAAGAAAATGACCATGCACCACCCAGGTAAATTGCTAATTATGCACAAAATTACTAATATGCCTGGCAAAAATTAAATTTTCTTATTTCCTAAAAAACTTATCATGGGGGTGAAAAACTATGCTTAATTTAATATAATTATTGTTGATTTCATAAGGATTGTCATTGTTTTCTTTAAATATAATACATCCCCCCCGAAAACACGGTTTCAGCCATATTTTGCCGTCTTGTTTCCTTTTTATCGCCGAATCTGGCAAATATCATCAAGTTGTTCTACTTTTACATAATCATAAATGGCTGAAGAAGATTTCAAAAAAGGTTTCATCAAGTTTGGGAACAGTGCAGTGTATTTTATCTTCGATAATGTGTCCTTCGATTTTTCGTGAAATATATGGCGCCATTGCAATGGCTCGCCGCTTCTCTGCCCGATAAATGCCACTTCTTCGTCTTCATATGTATTTAGATTTCACCATCCAGGAGTACTTCATTGTAGAATAGTCCCAATCGAAAAATTGATAACAGTCCGTGCACTTGAAAGGCGAAAACCTTCCATAACAATTGTTGAGTAACAATTCAAAAGAAGTAATTTAAAAGATACGCGCAAGTTCGCGAAACTTCCTCGTGGGCTACATGACAGGGGGTGTCTGAATATTTATCATTTATAGACCCGGAGCGAGGGGATTCGGCGTAATATTTCCCGAAGTGATATTTCCCGAAAATATCATCACTGAGAGAAATATCGCCGAATCCCCCGAGCGGAGGGTTTATAAATTATATATTATACCGAAAGTTAAAGAACTCACTAAGTTCAGAATAAACTTTAAAACTTGCTGAATATTAACTACGCGAATGCAATTTTTAATTTCTTATGTATATATACCCGAGTTTTTGACGTTTCCTCTTTAAAATATTTGAGCATGTATCCTTTGGATCATAAAAGGTAACATACGTCTTGAAAATCTTTGGTTAAATCAATAAATCTTTTGTACGAAATTACAAACAACAGCTCGCGAACGCCATATCGTTTCAGAGCGTGGTGTCCACGCGTCACGCGTGAGCGTGGGATACAATAATATCCCACGATGGATCTGCCGTGGGATATTATAGTATCTCACGCTACATTGCGAAATCATGAATTTGAGTGAAATACCGTAAAAAATTAAATCACATTATCACGTGGTACAAATGCTGTTTTTTTCATTGGACAATTTGAATTTGAGGTATAATATTTTCACGAAACGTTTGTTCGCCACCACAGCAACCTAACTAAATACATTATATTTATTGAATGTTTATGATTGATGAAAAAATACGCAAATATTTATTGTTTTTATCATCAATCATAAAAATACAATAAATATAGTGTGTTTAATTAGGTTGCTGTGGTGGCAAACAAACGTTTCGTGAAAATATTTACTCCCCCTGTCATGTAGCCCACGAGGAATTTTCGCAAACTTGCGCGTGACTTTTAAATGACATAACATTGAAGATAAAATACACTGCACTGTTTCCAAACTTGATGAAACCTTCTTTGAAATCTTCTTCAGCCATTTATATTATGTAAAAGTACAACAACTGGATGATATTTCGTGAGGAGTAAGTGAAATAAAATGTATTATATTTAATGAAAATAATGACAATCCTTATTAAATCCACAATAACTAAGTGTGTAACCAAGGCACATGGTCCTGACGGAATTTACCCTCGCCTATTAAAGGAATGTAGTGAACAAATTGGACCTAGTTTGTATGCGTTATTCAATCATTCTCTGAACTGCGGCAGAGTACCCATAGAATGGAAGGCTGCGAACATCACACCTGTTCACAAGAAGGAGTCAAAAGAAGTAGCTGAGATTAAGAAATACAAACGTTTGTTAGCTTTCTTCAGGACATAGTTGACATGGTCAATCCATTCAGTGAGTTAGGCACCATGACACCCAATTAATATCTTGGCACTGCTGACTAGCTCGAGTTCTTTGGAATTGATGATGATGGTCTTAAGCTGATGTTTCACTTTCTTAAAGTCAACTATCATTTCCTTACACTTGTCTTCGTTCAACTGGAGCTTGTTGTTTTTACTCCATTTCTCTACATCAGACACTGCACTCTGCATTTGACTTTGGCTATTTCTTGGGACAACCTCGGTTAATGTCGTGTCGTCTACGTACTTCCACAAGTAACCTTCGGATGGTTTAAGGACATTGATCATCAGAAGAAATAACCATGGTCCTAATTTCGTACCCTGTGTAACTCTAGATGGAACTGCAACCCATTCAGAGAAGCAGTCTTTGGACAGTTTGACGCGTTGCAGCCTGTTCGATAAAAAGTCGCATACCCAGCGAACTACACCGCGTGGAACATTCAGGGAAAGGATATTTTTAACTAGGATCCAGTGATCGATGAGATCAAAGTCCTCAGCTAGTTTTGATAGAGACGGAGTTAGCGAGATAGGTCTGATGTGCTTGGTAATTACAGTCACAGGTTACGTCTTTGGTAGTGGTGTTACATTGGCGTATTTCCATGACAGAGGGAGGGATTGTTTGCAGCAACTGAGCTGCTCATGAAAACATAGACTGGGTTCGCGAGAAACTCGACATAATCTTTAAGGAGCCAATTCGGCACGCCGTCTGGACCAGAGGCTTTTTTAGGGTTTAACCTTACTAATGCTGAGATTCATGGCTTTTACGAAGGCAAATGACTGTCTCCTTGGCCCAGCAGTGTTTGTAACGATGGCTGAATTTGAACTTCTTGGCTTTATAGAGTAGCTCTTGTAGTTTTGGCGTCAAGTGATCATATATTCCCATTGCATTGAGAGATGCTGTCGGGGATATTCCAAGCGATGAGCAAGTAACTTTCTTAATCTCCTTTCGCTTAGAAATGTCTAAAAGTTGTAATGACAACTTCTTTGGCCAGTCGTTTGGTAAATTTGCAAATTATATGGTTGCTGCCGTTATTTGTACACGAGTCACTAAAATTTCGGCGCTTAGGGACAAGATGTGCAGTATCGATGTCTTAAATTGATAGACGGCCTTGAACTCCCATTGCTTTGAATATTTCTAAACACAGCATTGCAGTGACATCAGATGATTCATTAGTTGAAGTTTGATGAACACCGATTATCTTTACATTGTACTTGTAGCTATATTGCTCAATAGCATCAATGGCGGACTCCACTTTCATCACTTTCTTGGTTATTTGATTAAGAGTCTTCTTAAATTCACTGAGTTCACTGCAAACATATCTTATATTGGAATCATTGAGATCATGGTTTTTGTTTAAAGATAGTTTTTCTTGTTTGACAAGTTTATTCTCGGCAAGAAAAATGAAAAAAAAATTTTCTTAAATTAAAAATATCTTTCTTGGCGCAAGAATTTTTAAGATTATAAATCTTTTTTTAAGAAAAAGGATGTAGAATATATAATCGTCTGTAATGAAAAATTATCGCTTCAAAATAATTTTTTTCGTCTAAGAAGAAAAATCTTATATTGGAAACAAGAAAAAGTAAGTTTTCTTGTTTTAAGATTAGAGTTTTGTATGGGTAAAAGATTTTTTTTCTTCTCGGAAAATTTACAGTGTAAAAACAGCTATATTTGCTTTAAGATAATTTATCTTTAACTAGACGTCGTTCAGCGTGCGTCGTATGCTGGCGTGCGCTGTTTGCCGTCGTGAATGATAGTAAATTAAACGGTTTCTGAAAATAACTGAAATTACCCAAATCGTAGTTTAAAACAGCTTTTCTTCGTAAAAATACGGAAAACTTGGTAGGCAATCCACAATTCCTTCACTGTTTTAGATATATCGGACCACGGGCAATAGGACAGGTGTAGTGTTGTTAAATAGAAAGTTAGAAATGGTATTATACTTACTCATGCATTATAATTATGTTTAAAAGATCAGAATATTCATAACTTCTTATTTTGTTTCATAAATAGTTCTTTAATATTCGAAACAAATTCCATATCTGCTTCGTCTGCCATCGCCATGTTTACTCGTCCCAATCTACATGCTGCACGGCATTGCCGCTCCTCCTGGCAAAATAATAAGCAAGCGAGAAAAATTAAGGAGAAATAAGAGGGTAGGAATATCGTTGTCATAAGCTGGATGCAGTGACACTTCCATATATGGCACAAACGTATCCATAACTTCCATATATGGCACAAACGTATCCTCGACGCGTTTTATAACGTTTTATTTGGCGCAGGGATAACGTAATGCTGCTTCCCGCCTATGACGATTTGAATTAGTCATGTGATACAAGATTGCGAAAGCCGATTCGCCAAGAACGATGACACACCCACGAAACGCCCACAATGTTCCTACCCTCTTATTTCTCCTTAATTTTTCTCGCTTGCTTATTATTTTGCCAGGAGGGGCGGCAATGCCGTGCAGCATGTAGATTGGGACGAGTAAACATGGCGATGGCAGACGAAGCAGATATGGAATTTGTTTCGAATATTAAAGAACTATTCATGAAACAAAATAAGAAGTTATGAATATTCTGATCTTTTAAACATAATTATAATACATGAGTAAGTACAATAGCATTTCTAACTTTCTATTTAACAACACTACACCTGTCCTATTGCCCGTGATCGGACCTTTATCCAGATTCTGATATATTTGTGTCTTGTGTTTTTCAAATTTATTAAATGCGGACATTAAAACTCGCGCCCACGCGCAATCGCGCGATCACGTGATTATGAGTATGTATCAGTATTGTATGTATGATCATTATGATTATGAGTATGTAAAGTATCATCTGACCGGTTAAAATTTTAAAAAAATCTATAACTATTTTAAGCTATTATGTACTGATAGAATGTAAAATCTGGAGATCCAGGCAAGGGAAAGTTTTAAAATGCGGGTAAAGCAATACAAATTACATACCATTTACTTGGTTTCCTCCTTTATTTTTTTTCTCTTTTTCTCCTGCTTCTTCTAGAATCAGACAAAATTCGTTAGGAAAAAGCCAATTTATAATCTATATATATAAAGCTATATTATATATATAACATTTCAAAACGATTAGTAGGCCTACAAGCTATAGACGATTTCAGTGTATCCTTAAAAAATATTCATTTTACTAAAAGTCTGTCTACACTTCGTCACCTACATTTGATTGTCTACTTGGTTGATAGCAGAAGAGTATAATAATGATGGTGCATGCTATTCATACTCGCAGCAGATAATCATCTCGCTTTTAAAACGTCTCCGAAAATATTGAGTACGGCAAATTTTTATCATAGATATAGATAGATATAGAAAACTTTATTGATGCAGATGATACATAGTGCAAATAGTAATTATTCCAAAAAGAATTGCAAGCTTTGTCCACCAACAATCCATGCGATAATAATGAGGAAATGTATAACACAGGTTTTTCCAAAGCGGAAACATGCATTGGTTAAAAAAAACATGGCAATAGTTAAGTTTTAACGAACTTCGAAGGTTTGAAAAATCAGATAATCTGATGAATTAATGATCAGTTTGACTGTGGAAAACATTGTAACTAATAATCCGGTAAGTACACAAAGTTTGTTGGGCTTAAGGGAATAAGAGTGCTATTTTCACTATATTAATCAACATTGTATTGGAAAGCGTCAGAAAAGTGAAATGGTACACCATGCATTAACGTTAGTTTTATATCTGCTGAAACTATACATCAGCCGGTAAAATATATTATATTCAGCTTGTGATAATTTCTACTATAATGAAAGACAAGTCAATATAGTTTTCTACAAATTGAAATAAATGAAATAAATAATATTTAACAAAAATGTATTTAAATTGTGATAATTTCTACTATATATGAAAGACAATATGGTTTTCTACAAATTAAACCATTAGAGTGACATGAAATAATGAATATTTAACAAGGATCTATTTCTTTCTCTGTAACATGCTTTGAAACAACATAATTTTCACGTCATTTTATTTTTTTCACAACGTCATTTTCACGGTACCTTTGTTATCCATTGGTTCACTTGCATTCCATATAAAGTATGCTCCTAATTAAAACGGACAGAAATTCGAATCATAAAAATCAACCAGCAACAAGCGACGACAAAAAAAACCAACAAAAAAAAACAAACCAACAACAACAACAACAACAACAACAACAACAACGACGGCGACGGCGACAACGACAACGACAACGACAACGACAACGACAACGACAACGACAACGACAACAACAACAATAGCAACAGTAGCTGTAGCAACAAATAGTGGTCATTACGAGGTGACATGAATTAGCACATGAGAATTAACTGGAATAATTTTTATAAATAGATACATATAACATTTTTCAGGGGATCCTCAGAAGTAAGCGCATGCTTATTTCTTCCTCGTGACTCTCACTCATCTTATTTTTATGTTTAACCGTAGTATAATTGGTGTTTAATTTATTTAAAACACCATAATAATATCTTTTGGTAGAATCATACTAGTATGCTATTGCAAATGCGGTAATTTGATTGGCTACTCTACTCGCTATCTATCCCTCGACAGATTTCGAGTAACGAAACAGTCATTTTCCTGGCGCATTTTTTAAAAGAAAAAATGGCTTCCGGCTCGCGTTTTTTATTGAATTATTGAATTATTTTGTGGAATATTTTATGTTTGACTCTACTAAAACAATTAGATTACTCGCTCTCGATTTCTATGAGATGACAGTAACCTCGAGCAGTCGAGTTCGCAATCTAATTGTTAAATAGTTACAGAATTAGTGCTAAATTAACAACTATACCATTATAATATGTAATTATTTAACACCACTATATTATATATAATTATTTTAACACCACGTAATTCTCCCAAGGAAATAGCGCCTAAAAAATCTCTCCCAAGTGTTATGTCTAGTCAATCACCATTAGAACCAATTAATCGTCACTTTGTGCAATCAATTTTACTATCTAATGTAATGTCTCTGGTGCCAAAGGTCGATGAGCTGGCGCTAGTTGTAGGAAATCACAATCCTGATATTATCTGTATCACAGAAACTTGGCTAAAAAACCAAATACCGGATGATGTCGTCCAAATTAATAATTACACTTTGCTACGACGAGATAGGAAAGAAAGAGAACATGGTGGAGTTTGTCTGTATATAAAAAATAGCTACTCTATTAGCGTATATGATCTAAAGTCTTCAATAATGTCATGTATAGATCCCAATCAATATGGTTTCATTCCTGGCTCCTGTACTACATTGGCCCTAATATCCTTAATTCATCGTTGGACAGAAACTGTGGATGCGAGGGGCGGAACCGTACGAGCGCTGCTTATGGATTATCGGAAGGCATTTGATTTAATAGACTATATCATTCTTTGCCAGAAACTGAAGCAAATTGGTATTAAACCATCGGTGTTTAATTGGATAGTAGATTTCCTGCGTGCACGATCACAAAGAGTAAAAGCTCCACTCGGACTGTTTTTAAGATTGGAAGCCTATAAATGCTGGAGTTCCTCAGCGAACCAAATTGTGGCCATGGCTATTTCTCCTTATGATTAACGATCTTTCGATCGCATCTGATGATTTTGAAGGTGATATGTTAAAATACGCAGACGACACAAATGTTTCTGCCGGAATATATATTAAATCAAGAGTATACGAGTTTCCTGCAAGATGTTACTAATTGTATTGTGAATTGGTCCACTTACAATAAATTTGAACTCAACCCGATAAAAAGCAAGGAGATTGTGATTAACTTTCAACGTAATGAACCTGTTTTCCCGCCAATAAAGATAAACGGAATTAACGTAGAGCGTGTTGAAAAAGCAACGATTCTCGGTTTATTGATCACTCAAGACATGAAGTGGAATGCCCATGTGGATAAGATAACAACTAAAGAGATCGGGTCTTAGTGACAATGATTTAAAATGTTTCTACATTGCTTCTATAAGATCTATCCTTGAATACGCATGTCAAGTATTTCATTACGGTCTCCCGGAATATCTTTCAGACCAAATAGAGCGGATTCAGAAGAGAGCTTTGCGCATCATATGCCCGGACTTGTCGTATTCAGAAGCCATTGAAGAATTAGATATGGAAACTTTGAAGGCAAGAAGGAAAGGATTATGTACGTACCAAAGTCTTCAAATCAATAGTGAATGACAAACATCATAAAATTCACCATCTCTTACCTACAAACATTCAAATACTTACAACTTAAGAAATCCAAACTTTTTTAATATTCCAAGATGTAATACCAATAGATTTAAAAACACTTACATTATATCAAGTCTCTTAGAACTAGTCTAATTATAGTTTTTTTATTCTACATTATATTCTATAATATTTTTACCTCAGTAATTTTATCCTCAGTAAGATCTAATTGTAAATTATATATTTCTTAATATAATATTGTTAATGTAAAAATCATGTAATTCAGCCTCCGGGCTGCGAGATGATTTGTTTATAATAAACCGTTTATTATTATTATTATTATTATTATTATTATTATTATTATTATGATTATTATGATACGTATCGCCCGGATTTGTTGCTATCATTATCAAATGGCTCTCTCTATGTGGTCGAGCTCACTGTTGGCTATGAGACAAACCTCCAGAACAACGTTAAACGGAAAAAAGCCAAATATAGAGAACTAGTAAGACAGCTAGATGAAAATTTTGACGAAGTAAACTTTGTTAATCTTTCTATGAGCTCCCTAGGTATTTTTGCGCAAGAATGCTCTACATTCTTAGAAATGTTAGGAAATGTTGGTCTCGACAAAAACTATCAAACGTACTGTGTTAGGAAAATGACGACTATTGCCATTCGAAGTACTTATTACATTTTCTGCTGTCGAAATAAGGAATGGGAAAGTCCGGACTTGTTAACTATTTGAAATATTTGATTGTCTTGTATATTTATGTATTTTCATGTATTCAGTTTTGTCATTATTATTAGTTCATAGTTGTGATTCAAATAGCCAATTGTAAGTTACCTTAATTAGTGAGATTTACAATTGTATATATATATATATATAGTATATAACAAAATTATTAAATAAAGTTTCCATTATTATTATTATTATTATTATTATTATTATTATTATTATTATTATTATTATTATTATTATTATTATTATTATTATTACGTAGTTGCTGGATGTCAAACGTACCTCCCACGATTTACATGGAGACATGATTCTGTTCTGAACTTCATAGCACAAACGCTACAACCTGTAAACAACTCCAATCTTTTCGTCGATCTTCCTGGTTATAAAAGCCCATTAATTGTA